GTAAAAGTTATTTTCCAGGACTTGGGTTACTTGAAGGGTGGATACTCCTATCCACTGGATAAATCTCTACTCCTTGGATAGTGCACTAAGTTTTATTAATGCATTTCTGCTGGACAATGATTTATATGTGGATAGAGTTTTCTGCCCTTTGAAAAACTGGGCCTTATCTACCCCTCCCTGAATACTACTTTAGTTACACTTCCTCTCCTCCCCTCTATCTCAGCTTGAAGAGAAATTCTCATAACATTGTTATTTGCAAGAAAAATGTACAACTCATCACAAACAATGGGTTTAAAAGATGGAATTCCTCTCTGTCATCCTTTACCAAAAATTTACTTTTGCATCTTGTTTCCTTCAGGGAAGAACATGAGAGAATTGGTGATATTATCAAGAAATACAGCCACTTCTTAAAGGTAACATAATGATTATTGATGTTAATATTGTTATCAATAGTTATTAATGCACTAATAAATCTTTTAATGTAAAAATGGCTGAGAAATGCATGTCTGTTTTGTAATAAACCTTTCATTTAACCCTTTCACTCCCACAAGTGACCAAGACTGAATTTCTCCTTACAATATCAATACGATATTAACCAGATAAGTGATGAGAATAGAGAAAAACGTCAATTTGGGGATAACTAGTTGATCCAATACTAAATTCTCTGAATTAGCATTATAAGAATTGTATTGTTGACTGTAAGGAGAATTACAAATTTGATGTGGGAGTTAAAGGGCAAACTTCAGTTTGTAACATTGAAATTTTAATAATTGTAATTGTTGAATGTCATCTTATTTTGGTATCAGTTCCATTTCCACAATTGAGAAACCTTTTTGAATTTTTTTTATTTAAGTTTGATGGGTTTATGTTTCTTGTTCGACAGATGTACACTCAGTTTGTGAATGGCTATGACAAAGCTATTGGTGTGTTTCAAGACACTATGAAAGAAAATTCAGAGTTTGCAGACATGGTTGCTAAATTTCAGGTAGGACATAATATGGAGAATATTTATTAAAAGCAAAACTCTGTATCGTAACCAAAATTTTGTGCATCTGTTGATGTACTTACTGACTCTATCTTTTCTTACTACTTGAGAAATGCTGTTTTTATAACCCCAAAATGAAATTTTGGATAACATCATCAAACTAAAGTGTGAGAGATTATTTGTTATCAGACAAAAAATAGTAGAGTTTACAGATCAATGTCAGTATGGCAGCAACTGCACATCTACCCCTCCCTTAATCTAGCATTAACCCTGACATGTTATCAGTTGAATAAAGGTGGTAAGTTTCTAAAGAAACTGTGGTGCTTGTCAGTGGGAGAGTATAACAGGGTAATTTGGACTGAGTTGATAATTTAAATTGGCCACCGTAAAGAGTTTCAAAGCTGACATTTCGAGCATTACTTCTTCATCAGGGCAAATTTAATTGCGCAGATATGCAGCAAAATGCACAGAAAGCCCAATCTGGTGATGAGAAAAAGGCTACTAAATACTGCAATGTAATTCACCCATTGTTGAATGACAGCTGTCCAAAATGTCAAAGGTTGAAAAATCTTTGGTGTAGTATTGTGAGGGTGGCAGCCAATTATTGGTATGGTGTACCTCTACACTTAAATCAATCTCAGATCCTTACTGTCTGCCATACAATTCTTATAAAGTTAGTTCAGAGAATTTAGTATTGGATCAACTAAGTATCCCCAAATTGATATTTTCTTTATTCTCATCACTTGTCTGGTTGATATTGTACTGATAATGTATGGAGAAATTCTGTCTTTGTCACTAGTGGGACTTTAGGGTTAAAGTGAGTGCATTTTTTTGTCAGCAGGTGTCAGATGGCCACCTTAAATGTTGAATGGAACAACCAGTTTTTTTTTTTTTTTGTTGAGTTGAATAAAAAATAAATTGTATAAAGGGGTAACACTTGAAATGTCAGCTCTAGAAACTCGTTATGGTGGTCAATTTTTATTTATCAACTTGGTTGATATAACCAAATTGTTTTGTAACACCTCCTCAGTGACGTAGCATCAAAGTTTTTTTAGAAACTTACATCTTACATTCTGATAGTTGATACCTTTTTTGTTAAGTTCAAGGTATTGACAAAGAATTTTAACTATAGTCAATACCATATGATGTTGAAAAAATATTCACATGTTCTAGAGAAAGTTTTATAAAAAGTTCAGTTAACAGAAGTGATGAGTGGAAAAGCAGAAAGTTGATAACTGCATCATATCAACTCATGTACAATGTAGATAGAACAACAAAGGATCAGAGGTGAAAATATAACACATCGATCTGAAGAATTATTGTAACTTTTGTTTTCTGTTTACAGGCAAGTGAACGTTGTCATGGAATGGCATTGTCATCTTATATGCTGAAACCTGTACAGCGCATACCTAGCTACAGACTTCTTCTTATTGGTGAGTTAAGTTTTCTGTTGTTAAGAGCGAGGATCAAATTTTTTTTTGCTTGAATATTTTATGATGGTTTTTTTTCCCAGACTATCTCAAGCATTTGCCGAAGGACTCAGAGGAATCAAAGGACACAGAAGGTAATTTCAAGGATTTCTCTCAATCATACATAATTGTATTTTGTATTTTATTTAACTGTATAATAATGTACATGAAAAGATTATATGCTTCCTATTGACTGAAAACAAGTGCATTCTCATGTTCTTTGTTGGCACATTTTTTAATTTTTTAAAGTTGGGTGGAAAAGAGGCATGCATTTAACTTTAGATAGGATATCTACTTCTCCCTCTGTTTTACAAGGGAAAACTAGACAATTTGGAAGGAGAATCTTTCTGCTGATCAGAAGTCACTGAAAGGATTTTTCAATGCACCCCTTGAAATATTATCAAATTGCAAATTGCTACACAAAACAACACCTCTTTTTGATTTTTCAATACACAAAGTAGCACCTAATGATATGCACTGTTATGAATAGCATTTGATCATAATTTGTTGGCTCTTTTCTTCTTATCAGCTGCCCTTAAGATTGTGTCAGAGGTTGCGACACACATCAATGAGTCCATGAAGAAAATGGTGGGTTGGAATTGTACTGTTATCATCAGAGTGAAAAAATTCCTCCCTTCTTCTAAAGATAAATTGCATTAGAGATAACAGGACTTTTTTCATGCCACAAAAAGTGCTGAGTGTTTCACTGATTTTCTCACCACACTTTGACATCTGTGATCTTTTACTGAAGAGACCCATGACAACATGGAATGGATTTGTTTTATAAAAAAAGGCAAAATGCTGTTAATGGTGAAGTCATTCATGCATCTGTCCACAGTCCATAAGATTATAAATAAGAATCAGTCAAGATGCATATGTAGTTTAGCTTATTATGTGAACAATTATTTAAATTTGTAAAACAGGCAATATAGAGCACAAAATAAATACTGTCATTGTTATTGTTTAACAGGAGAGCTTTGAGCAGATGCTTAAGGTTCAGAGGAGTCTTGTGGGACACCCAGAGATTGTCAAAGCTGGACGGGTATGTACCAACAGTTGTTGTGTGCTTAAGAGCATTTAACGTGAGCTTCATCATTTTCAGGGGCAGACTGATGAATTCCAAATAAGGAG